AGATATCATTACCAGATCCTTTGTGCCCAAATTCCACTTACTCTACAGATTTCCCTGACGTGTTTCATTAAAATGTCTTTGCTGGATTTATTTTGTTATCCTAAGATTTCTAACCAGTTTTTTCCTTGTTCATGAAAATTAGACTTTAGTCTTTGTATAATTAGGACTTTTTTCATGCTTGTTTTTCTTTGTTATTGTTTGACTATTTGTATGAAGTCTCACATTGTGTATTTTTATTTTGATCTGGATCATCTTGTGCCTATTGAATGCATAGAGAAGGACTCCACAGGGAGAACTGGACACATAGACTTCAATCCAATCCACCCCAGCCCTGAAGACTGCAAGTTAGAGGTCTAAAAAGCCAGAAATCAATTGGTGGAAAACTGATGGATCGAATTTTGTCCCAGGTCCCCTTTAAAATTTTATGAGGTCACCCAGAACTCCCTGTCCTATCAATTCATAAGAGAAATTCATCTTGTTCAGCCTATCCCATGGTCAGCTGTGGTTGAGCTGTTGGCTGAACAGTCCCTTCCTGGTCTCTGCCTGGCTGGGGAATCTGAAACACCCTGCGCGATCAACCATACTCTGACCAAGTGTAGTAGTCTCTTTGTCACGGGTTAGGTTAAGTCAAACCCTCAACCTCTTCCTGTCAGAATTCCTGCTTCTTACATGAATTTGCATGTTATTTGGTATGGAACAAAGTTGCTTTACTTAGCGTATTCATTCACTCAGGCTGCCATGATAAAATATTATAGGCTGCAGTTCTTTAAAAAACAGAAATTAATTTCTCACATTTCTGGCATTGAGAAGCCTGAGATGGAGGTGTCAGCAGGGCTGGTCGTCACTCTGAGGCTTACTACTTTGGGAGGTAGGTGGACGTGGTCCCCCTGTGTCGTCACCTGGTCTATGAAGTGTCTCTGGGTCTGTGTGTGTCTCGATCCTTCTTACAAGGCGGGAAATCATGGTGGATTAGCATCCACCCTAATGACCTCATTTTAACTTCACTACCTCTTTAAAGAAGCTGTCTCCAAATACAGTCATATTCTTAGATCCTGGAGGGTTTGATTTGAATGTATGAATTGGGGGGGGGGGAATTAGACATATCTACAGTAAAAAATTAATGTCCTTTATAATAACTAGAAATATGTGGGAACATATATTTAAAAGTCAATGGGCCCAGAGATTTAGCTCAGAGGTTTTGCCACCTGCTGCACAAGCGCAAGGACCGGAGTTCGATCCCTGGTACCAAAACAAAAAACAAAAAAAACCAAAAGTCAGTGATCAGCTTCGCTATTGACATACTAAGAACGGAACATGAAACACTAACTCCAAGTCAGTCTATCTCAAATGTCTCTATGTCTCTAACTCTATGTCACCCCTGCACAGATTTTCAAAAATCTATGCCCTGCATACCGCTCTCTACTTTATTATCACTGTACACTTGCATCCCTCTGTTCCTTCTGCCCTATCTCATGACCTTCTAAGTGAGTTTGTCTCAGGAAAAGAGCAATCACATTGCAAATATCCCCTGAAAACTACGAGGCCAGAAGGCATATCTATAGAAACTGAATTGTAACTATAGTCTGGGGCTAGATTGAGGGCTATAATTAAAGTGTTTTTGTAAACTCCAGGAAGGAAGAAAGAAATGTGTTATAGAATTCAGGATTTTGTTCCACTGATTGTCCTGGGGTGTCAGATTAATGCTCATCAGTCCACTGAATTGTTAGTCCATCTAGTGAGGGAAAATGTTAAAAGTACTCATGTAGGAGCAATAAGAAGAGAAACTAAATAATTCACCAATGCCATAATTTTTTAATGGCCCTGAACGGACAAGAACACTAAGAAAGTTACTAAACTAAGGCCATTTCAGGAGGCTTTTCCTTAGAAGCAGTGATGTGCTGAGAAGTGTTTAACCACTGGCTCTCCAGGGGTTTGGGGAGTGGGAAAGCCATGAATTGTACTGTTTGCTGATTTTCACAGTGCCAGTATGCCACCATGGCCAATTTCAAGGTAGCACTGTGATATTACTGAATGCAATTGCATAGAAAGACTCTCAAGTGCCAATGCAAGCCAGTCCCAGCACATCACTGCTTCAGGGGAGCTTGGATACAGAGACAGATCTTCAAACAAAATAAGGATGAGCCCAGAGGGACTGCAGGAAACTCTTGGACATTATTCTGGAGTGAGCCCTTAGCTGAAGACAGGAGAGACCCATCCACTCTCTTTCTAATTGTCCTCTGATCTGAAACGCAGGGAATATGAGAACATAAGTTGCAATGAAAAGTTGTTCACTTAGAAAATTTCTAACATGTGGCCCTGTATAGAACTAAACAAGGTAGGAATGGAAATAAATATGGTTTCCTGACTTAAATAACTGGAACCAAAAGGTGCTCTGTTTGGTCAGCATCCAGGGGCTGTTGAAATGATGACCTGCAGATATTGCAAACAAAACCCTTGGAAGAGCTGATCTTCCATAGTTGTGTAGAAACTAAAGAACAACTATTCAAAATCTGTCCAATGATGCCTCTCAGAAAGACGCTAGCACCTAACAATACCTGTTTTTCCTTCCTCTAAGCTCCGTGAATAGCAGATATTTGTTATTTTACCTGCCCAAGAGTAGCCCTACCTCTGGAATCAGAATCTGATTTTCATGTGATCTAAGTGAAGCTGACCCAAATTCCTCACCCTCTTCCTGCCGCCTAGCAGGTGACTAAAGGTGGCCAGTCAGGGTCTCTGGCCCCTTGGTTCAATAATGCATAATTGACCCAACCATGTGACCCAACTTGGATGAGTCAGAGTCCATCTTGTTCTGTGGGATTCTTGGGAAACATGGCGTCTCCTCAAAGGAGGTGCTAAGCTAGTTGCTAAGCCAGTGGGCAAGCATCCATTTCTCCTTATGCTTGGGCTACCTCAGCTATGTTACTGCCTCTGCTTTTATTCTTTCGGCATTATTGACCACCCTTCTCCCTTTTCTCACTACCGTATAGCTCATGATTTCTCGTGGCTTCTGCTGGCCTACTTAGTTCTTCCTAGTCTTTGTTCTCTCCTTCCACTTCTGCCTATTCCACCCCAAGTGGACAAGGACCATGCCTGTTTTGTATACTATTGCATACCCAGAGCCTGAAATACTTTTGAATAAATGAATGATCTCTGAATCCTCTGAATTTTCCATTAAAACTTACCAAGAAGTGGAATCTGATGGAGGTGAGCTTCCACTAGCTATACTTTTGGTCAGGGATCTGACCACTTTGGTCCAATCCATTTGGGCCAGTGTCATGAACTATCTTACAGAGCCATTTGTGTGAAACAAATTCCCTGCCTGTAATTAAAGGTTTCCAAAAAGAAGGAAGTATACATCCATGTGTGTTTGTACATATATAATTCCAGCACTCTGGGAAACTGAGGATTACAATCTTGAGTCTATTTGGGGCCAATTAGTGACTTAGCAAAACTCCTTCTCAAAATAAAACATAAAAAGGTCCTAAGGAGGTAGCTTAGTGTAAAAGTCCTGAAATTCAACCCCAAATCCCACAGAGCATGAGGCGAAAGATGGAAGTATAACTGTTCAGCCCAAACAAGCCATGAGAGGCAGATTCTGACAATACCTCAATGATTCCTGTCTTCTGGTATTTGTGTCCAGTATATTTTCTTCCCTTTGAACGTGGGCTGGACCTAATACTTGCTTCTACTGATACAATGTGACAAAAGTGATAGGATGTCATTCACATCATTGGATTAAAAAAAATTGTAACTTCTGCCTTGCTAGTATTCTCTCCGTTCTCTCTCTGGCTCTTCTTGTATGTTTGCCCTGATGGAGAGGACCTCTGGGTAGCAATGATGGGCAACTTTCAGTCAGCCAATAGCTGGACACAGAATCTGAACAACGTGCTCTTGGAAGTGTACCTTGCCCGCCAAAGCCTTCAGATGAAGCCATGGCCATGGTCAACACCTTGATTTCAGCCTTCTGAGAGACCCTGAAGCAGACACTCCAGACAAGCAGGGCCTGGACTCTTCATCGACACTAACAGCAGGATAATAACTGCTGTCATTTTAAGCCACTGCATTTTGGAGTAACTCATTATACAGCAAAAGATAACTATACACAAGCCAAATGATATTTTCTCTTATCATTTCGGCCATTAATTTTTAAACTGCTTCTCTCTTAAACTTTCAGGTTAGTCTTCCCGGGCGGGACTTCTGGTGACAGAACTATCTCTTCCTTCAAAGTTTGTGCTTCAAGAACCAGAGGCAGAAGGAAGCCTGACTTGATGTCCACAAAAGACTTCCTGCTTTAGGCCCAAATCCAAGGAGGAGACAACAATTTGTCAAAGCCCTGGCCTCTGGTGTCTTAGCCCCACCACTAGGAGCTGAGGCTTCCTTGCCCTGGAGCGGGGGACCAGACCTTTAAAAAGTGGCCTGAAGCCAGCAGATGCTAAAGACAGTGAAAAGATGACTTGTGTTGGGGCTGAATCTTCCTGTCACTCTTGAAAAAATGGTCTTCTAGATTGGCCACAAAGACCCTACATTCTTTGGTGAGCCATGGAACCCAACCTGAGCTACCTCTCCATTAGAAGCCATCAGCTGCTGCTCCTCATGTCTTTCTGTTGCATCCTCAGGCTTGTAATTTTGTCTGGATGACCCCTGTCCTTCTGACCCTCAGCTGGAGCCAGGATGAGGAATGTCTGGCAAGGAACAGGACAGAGGCCAAGCCTCTTCCATTCTCCTCTGGACCAGCTGTCTCCTTGTGAATGTTAAACACCCAGCAGAGGCCTAAAGCAGAAGGAAAACAAATCATCTCTGTTGAAAGAGTGTCTCCACTGTTTCCATCCAACAGATTATATATCTCCACAGAGACTAGCTGGGAAACCCAAGACAAAAGATACAGAGGGCTCCTGGAGAGAGAGAGAGAGAGAGAGAGAGAGAGAGAGAGAGAGAGAGAGAGAGAGGGTGGGGTTGGGAGCTGCCTGAGCCCCTCCCTGGGGTCCCTTGGCTCTCTTACCTCTGTGCTGCAGGCCAGAGCAGAGCAGATGTGTCCCAGCGGGCCTGCACAATCAGCCATGTGTCACCTGGGCCTGTATTTGAGAGTCCCAAGGTGTTTTTGGCCATTGCTGGAGTAGCTCCAAGAGCAAAGCCATCCAATCTGAACCACAGTCCTCCTTCTTCAGGCCATGCATCTGAGTGATTCAGGAAATGCTCTGGGACAGCTTTGGGTAGTGAGAAGAATAGAGACACTGGGGCCTGAGAAGGCCGGGGATGAATTCAGCGGCAGCCACGTACAGTGTGACCTGGGGGAAATTACTCACCACTCCTCTTCCAGTCTCAGTGTCCTTATCTACACATGCGCAGTAATTTGTTTGCTCAATGTCAGCACCTACCCTGTAGGTGACAGGCCCTACTGGCATGAGGTTCCAGCCACTCAAGTCCATTTGCTTACTTCTGACCAAGCCAAAGGAGGCCATTTATCTTGGTGAAGAGGAAAAAAGACTTTATTCAAAACAAGCTCCAAGGAGATGGGATGGGGAGCTCATTTGCCTGGAATCACCCTTTCCCTGCATCCAAGGGGGCAGAGATGTTTTGTAGTGAGGAGCAGAGGGGAGAGTGAATACAGTGAGCTAATGGCCATCTCCAGGCCCATAGTCCTGGGGTCAACATCTGCATATTCTGTGCATTCATCGAGACTGAAGAGAAGAAGGTGGTATTTATACCCTAGGCCTAAGGACATTTGGAGATGTCACCTGTCCCTGAAGGAAAAAAAAAATTCTAACTTCCAGAGTTCCATTTCCCCTTTGTCAATTACAGGGGAAGGTGAGTCAGATGCTTGACTTGGATACAAAATTTTAAGAAGGACCAGAAAGCTCGGGAACTAACATAATTAATATTCTAAGATAATGTTTAAAATAAAAATGGATGCCCAGAGCTCATGATACACAAAATCCCACACTCCTAAACAAAGACAGGGTCTGTGCAATACACTGGGAACATGAGCAGCCTTTGTGAAATGTTTCCAGGAGGCTGAGGGGCAGGTAGGTCACAGCCCCAGGAAGAGCCCCGGACGGTCAGCGCCAGCCCAAGTTCAGGTGTGCCGTACTGCTTTGTCCTGTCTAGGAGAGCGGTTAGTCGAGTAGACAGGGAGGTTCAGCAGACCCAGATCTGAGTCCTCTCTTCTCTGTACTGTCTCTGGCCACTGTAGGCCTCAGTTTCCTCAGGTGTAACTTAGGCATAATAATAACAACACGATCTCCACCAAAGGGCTGTCGCAAGGCCGGATACCAGCCACAGAAAGCGTAGCAGTTGTCATTATAGCACCATTTAATAGACATCTGAATCAATATGAAAGAATCCCTTGGCTAGGCTGAGGACAAAACAGGCTGGCATTTTGTGGCTGTCCGCTCGCTGCCTTTGTGCATCCTCCCGATAAGCTGCATCTGCTCTGCTCTCTTCTTAATCAAATACACAGCTGACTTGGGAGCTGCTGGCTTGGAGCTGTCTTTACTGCTGCGTCTGCTGCCATCTGGATGTGGGAGGAAGCACAGAGAGGGGATGGTGGCGAGGTGGGAACAGCTGGGGCAGAGGCCTGGAGAGTCAGGGTCGAAATCTGTTTGCTGCATGGGCACTTGAGATGTACGGTTCAGGCAAGGAATGAAATAGCATCCCGGGACACAGCAGACACTATTTGTCTTCTTCTTGGCATGCTGGAAGTGAGGCACTTTCTGGCTGGTTTTGACCATCGATCTGCTCTGATGGCCCCGTTGTCCCATTTCTGGAGAGCTAAGGGTGCAAGTGACCCCAGCAGGACAAAGGAGGACACTTTCCAAAGCATTTTAGGAAGGTTTTGGGGGGTTTTTTTGCCCTTTGATGCCTCTGACATTAGAGGCAAGAGAAGAACTTGGAATGAGAGATATTAGTCAGTGACAATGTTAATTTGCACATTTAGCAAACTCCAGCCTACACTAAGAGCCAGGAGCACTGACAGAAAGGGTAGGGAAGCTGCAAAAGAGCAGAATGCAGGGCTCTCAGAACCACCTGGAGGGGTTATTTAAAAACAGAGCTCTGTGTTAGAAGAGCTGGGCCAGGCCCCGGGAAAGCACGCTCCTAACACATCTCCGGGTGATACCGATGGCTCTGAGGACCTCTGCTAGGAGAGGATCTGGGCTCTGAACTCAGACTCACATTGGCGATGAGGCCAGCTGGGCTCCTTGTTGGCTGTGGGGCCTACAGCAGCTTAATGTCTCCGTGAATCAGTGTCCTCATCTGGAAAACATGGAGGATAATAATAGTATCTGCCTGTGGGTTTTTGTAAGAGAGTGAAATGAGTCATGGATCCAAAGCACTGAGAGCAGGGCCTGCATGTAGGAAACATTTGATATGCATTAGCTATAACAATCTGCAATATTTACACATGGCACAGTGAAAAACTATTATATGCGAGCCTTTATAAATAAGTCAGAAAATGTGAGTAGGCAAAGGTCCCTGTGTATTCATGTGCACACAAAATATTTACATATAATTTGAAGGGGCTCTGAGGCCCCTGGAAACTCATCCTTCTTTATGCCCCTGGTTAAGTAGATTATAATAGCTGCCTTTTTTATATTTCCTTTTTTAAAAAAAGAATTCCCAGCTTCAAAAAACCTTATGCCATCTATGTAGTTAATGGAATTATATTTACATTTCTTTCCTTTCACAAGTCATAATTTCCAAAAACTATATAACATCTAATAGCTATCATTTTTGAGCCTCTTTGTTGCATGAAATGTGGCAGGTAATCCATATTCTAAATTACTTTGTAAAGTAGTCATCATTGCCTGGGACTTAGCTCAGTGGTAGAGTGCATGCTTAGCATGCATAAGGCCTTGGATTCAATATCCAGCACACACACACACACACACACACACACACACACACACACACACACAAAGAAGGTAGTCATTGTCATTGTTCTTTTACAGACAAAATAGCTGAGGCTCAGAAAACTTGCTGAGGGAGGGTTAGAATTGGGATTTGCAACCAAACCTGTCAGACTCTGTCTCAATGCCACTGTTCACTTCTTTAGAACAACTGCATCACCTATACATCTAGAAGAACATAGTTAGCCATGACTGAGTGATGGAAAATCTTTCAGATCTTTCAGTGATAAAAACAGCCAGCTACAGCATGCATGTCATAGGTTTGACACCACTGGACTAGGTGATCTTGGAGGGAAGAAATTAAAGATAGTTTTTGAGCTCAAATAATTTACATCCAACTGAGCAATCAAGTTAGACATACAGAGAAAGGGCTTTAAACAAAACATTATATTATTGCAGTCAAAATAATGAATGTGGGGGAATATTCCTATACTCACTAGATACATATTCATTTGCTTTTCCAATTTCCCAGCTTCCCTTGCTGTTAAATTAGGGTCATGTGTCTGGCTCTGACCAATGAACATGAGTGGCCACTTGGTGTAAGTTGCCTCTAGGGTTAACCATTACAGACACATCATATGGGCACTCCTTTCTTTCCCTTGCCTTACAGGAGTGACTGAGGAAGTCATGTGTTCTAGGTGATGAAGTTCAAGACAGAGAAAGACTATTCATGGGGTATCAAATTAAAGCAGAAGTGTGAAATTAACCTCTGTGGGTTACAGCATAGACATTGCTGGTTACAGCCCCATAACCTAACCTGGCCTAATAGTCATAGGAGAATTCCAAGATTAGTCAGTCTTGAGGTACTCAAGTGTTGAGTCAGCTGAAGGCTCCCTTTTAGATCCAGTAAGTCAAAATACTTAGGGAAAGGCCCTAGGATGTTTTATTTTTAATAAGACTATGCTGTGGCTTGTGTTTAGATGTCCCCCCCAAAGCCGCATGCTTTTGCAGAGGTGGCTGAATCTAGAGTGTGTGATTGATTCCTGGTGGGGTAGGCCCAAGGGCACTAGGATTAAGGGTGTGAGTGCTTCTCACCCTAAGTAGCCTGAATAAGATAAAAGGGGCCGGAAGATGCTGTTAAGGTCACTTGTTGTTTCTGCTGTCTTCCACCACCATGAACTGTTGCCCCTCTGCCACTCTGCCTTGGAGCCAGCCTATTACGGACTGAAACCTCTACGAACGGTAAGCCAAATAAAGGTGTCCCCTTTAACTGTTGGGTATTTTGTCTCAGCAATGAGAGGAAAGTAACTAACACAGACCATATTGAGGATTGGTCCAAAGCATCTGGGTCGCTGTTGTGCCAGGCGGGCGTGCTAGCCACATCGATCCCAGGAGGAAGGTATCTCAGCTGGGTACTTCCGCATCCCTGTGGTTGAACTGTGGTGAGAGAAACACAGAGCTGCTAGGGGCTCACATTTCACAGGGTGTGTTCACCTCCTTTATTGTGCTCAAGACACAGAAGGCGGGGTGGTAAAAATCACAAACTCTGGGACAAGGTTGCATGGGAGCAAATTTAGTTCTCCTTATTAGCTGTTGACCTAGGGCAAGTTATTTAATGTTCCTGCACCCCAGTTTGCTTATTTGTTATAAAATTACACTGGGTCCAATCCCTCAGTGCTGCAAAAAAGTAAAACAAACCAAAGTTTAAAAAACGAGAATCGTAGTCTACTTCACCAGTTTGTGTGAATTAAGTATTCTGAGAATTTAAAAACCTCACAACAGTATCTGCCTGTAGTACTGCTTACACAGGTTGGCTATTATTCTTCTTTCTCAAATTATCCAGGGGCAAGGACAAAGACACAGAGACGAGGAAATAAGGAGATGTGGGACCAGCTCAAAGCCCTGCCCCTGCCCCTTGGGCAAGTCCAAAGTACAGCTGGTGCTCAAACAGTTTGCTGGGGCTTTCCCTGGACTCCCCGGCTCAGCCGGTTGCACTGGGGAGAGTTTGACCAAGGGTGTGTGGCAATGCTCTGAGCCACTGGGCCAGGCATCCTCCGAGCCCTCTTCTCAGCTGACTTCTGAGACTTGGCCTCTGATAGCCCAATTCCTTCCTTCCATATTCTTTACCTCTGTCTCCGTTTTCTAGTTCAATCTGTTTGCTTCAGAGACGCCAACGCGGTTCTTGGGTGGATCTTGCCTTCCTTTGATGGAGGAATGGCAGGGGAAGAGGAGTTGGACCCAGGGGTCTGCAGATGGAGGGAGGCGGGCAACAGACAGGTAGAAGAAATCAAAGGGCTCGGCATCAAAGGAAAGAGGAGCCAATCAACTGGAGGATTCTCCCTCCTCTGAGATTGGATCTGCACTTTAATTTGGGAATCATAGTTAAGTTTCAAACAACAGGAGGGAAGGGCTGCTGGTTCCCTTGGCCAAGGAAGGTGTTTGTTGAACAGATGTAGGGATGTGACACAGGTACAGCTTGTGTGGGGCCCTGAAGAGAGGGGAATTCAAGTTCTACAAGGAGGGAACATTGCAGTGAAAGAGTTTCATGTGGCAGAGGAGCAGCAGCCAGCTCAGTGAGGCTGGAACAAAATGAGCAAGGAGGATGCCCATCGGAGCAAAGCAGGGGCCTTTGAGACTGGAGCAAGGACAGCAAGTGTACAGCAAGCCCTGTGGCAGGTTTTAAGGGTGGGACATCTGATGGGTTTTAAGTGACCACTGCGCTACTAGGTACAGAATGGATTTCAGGGGCAACAGAAGTGGGGAAGGTTGTAGGGGGACTTCAGGAGTCTTGGTGAAAGATGCTTTATCCTGAGCTGGTATAGACATTGGAACGGAAGGGAGCGGGCACGTTGAAGCCATACTGCAACTACAGAGGTGACAACCTTGTCTTGTGTCTCCTCAGTGACCACCAGAAAGGGCCTGCGCCAGTGATGCCACAGAGTAGGGCTCCAAGGAGAGAAGATGGAGCACAGCTAGGCCTGCCGTGTCCAGGAAAGAAAGCACTGCCATGCAAGCTGTTCTCATTCACCCTGGGACTCAGCCGAGGGCAGGAGCTGAGACTGGCAGCTGCTGGCCAGATTCTTTCTGAGCAAGTGCTCCTGCTACACAAACTCACTGGTGCTTGGAAAGTGAGAAGCCCTGGGAGCTTTGGGAAAGGGAGGTGTGTTGGTTGAGGTCAGGACACGCATGTCATAGGGCCCAGAGTTCTAAGTCAGGGTGGGCTCTGGGCCCTGGGAGGGTCCTCCATTGGGTATCTGGTTCTGGCCTGGATGGATTCACTCACCTGCAGGAAGGTCCAGAGGAGAAGGGCCCAGGACTAAGCCTGGAGAAAGGACAGGTCACCCACAGAGGCCTCTCCAGTGAAAACACCAGCTTATACCAGCCCACCTCCAGAGCCAGGGGACATTCTGCATAACCAGCCAGCATTTCCTGCCCTTTCCTTCCTGCCCCTGTCCCCAGCCTCAAATCCTGTGCATCTATGAGGGGACCCTTTATATTAGCCTTTCCTGAGTTTGCTTCCCTCCTCTGCTCCCAGCTGCCCCTTACAAGCTCACAGGTCCTCAGACTCCTCCCCATCCCCTCTGGCGTCTGATTGGCCTCATTGCAGCAGGAGGCAGCCTGGAGCTCACAGCTGCCGATCACCATGCTCTGGGAGACCTCTTCCCATTGATTTTAGCATTTTTACCTTCTGAGGATGCCCTTTATTCACACTGTAACTTTCTGTGCCTTCATTTGTCCAGAAACAGAAAACCAGTTTACTTGGGGCCAGGCCCAGCTGTATGCCCTGCCTGGAGATTTCTCACAGCCAAGGCTGAGCTCTGCTTCCCTTACCAGTGACGTGGGTGTAATGAAACCAGCTGTAGAGAGATGGGAGCTTCAAGGGCCTAGGGTGTGTACTTGCTGAATGCTCTGCAATGAGTACTTCCGGTGCCCAGTGTTAAGTGAAGACGCTTTGCCCTCTCAGTAGGTTGATCTCAGTGGCTGCATCAGACTCATGAGGGGCCCCTGAGTATGTTTACTGTGTGATTGAAAAGTATGGTGAATATTTTAAAAAATGTATTACAGTAAAAGACATATTGCCATCAATCCCCCCACAAAATACCCACCCTTTGAACACACTTATACTAATTCTTCCGCTTCTGGAGGGAGTTCTGGAAGTCCTCTTTTGTGTCCTTATTTGCAGTGTTGTGGCTACCAGATGTCCCAAGCTGATCGAAAATGTTTACCTTTCATGGTTATTTTGATTTGGGGGAATAACCAGATGCTGCATGTTGCCAGATCCAGTGAATAAAATAGAGGAGACTACACTACCATGTTTTTCATGAGCCTGTCTTTCAGTTGGATGGCATTCTGCAGCAGCATTCTTCTTAATTTTTATCGCACATCCTAAAGACACTCACGAAAGAGGACCTCCAGAGCTGCTTCAGAAAGTGGCAAGAATGATGGGATGAGTGTCTTTGAAGTGAGGGGAGTATTTTGAGGGGGATCGATGGCAATGTGTCGTTAACTGTGGTAAAATTTAAAAAAGTAAACATATATCGTATGTTATTCCATCACTCCTTGTACTTCTGTTGTCAGCGAAAAGTACCAAGTACGAAGGCAGAGGCTGGATTGGCACGTGTGGGCAGCGTCCATCCCAGAGCCACCCGCTACAGTCAGGGAAGGCTTCCCTCGGCAGCTCGCCTGGAGACCAGACACGCCTTCTTCAGTCCTGCCAGCCCCTGGTGAGGCCTCGGGAGGGCTGGAGCCGAGACCGCAGCAGGCTGAGCCACCTTGCCAGGAGCCGGAGAAGAGGAGCTGACTCTGCCGGATGCCCTTATCCATGGGGGACCCTTCCACTGCCAGCTGAAGAAGGCGCAGTGGGTCTCTGGGGAGAAGAGGAAAGCAGGCAGATGGGTCCTCCCCTGCCGCCCAGTGAGGCTGCCATCCAGAGGGACTCCGGTGGCTTTCTTGTGTTTCTGCTGCACCTGGGCAGTGACAGGAGTAATTTCACGGGCTGTCGCTTGACTTTTCACGGAGACCTCTAATAACCTAGTACTGTGCTTCGCACTGGGTCAGAGTGTGCACTGGACCCCGCCCGGCCCCTGCGCTCAGTCTTGTTGATGCGGGGACTTGTTCTCTCTAGAATCCTCGTGCCGCCTGGTCCGAGTCAGCACCAGGGGTTCTGGCTTCTGTACATCCTACAGAGCTATTGCTTCTGTCGTGAAATAACCCCCTTGGCTCTTTGGTTCAGAGTTTAATACCCATAATTTTTTTTAAACCCAGATCTTACAGAATGAAAGTGCTGCCATGATCATAAGAACATTTGGCCAGTATTTCTGCTCACTCCCCGCCCAGGAGCACCCAGGGCTGTCTGAGCCTTTCCCCAGCTCCCCACAGACCCAGCAAGGAGGCTGGAAAGCAAGCACAGGTGAGGTTGAGAAGAAACTCTAATGGTGTCACTTGGAGTTACAGAGACTAAAAGCAGGGCAGTGATGGATCTTCCATTCATTCAGTGCATTCATGTAACAGCTACTTGTTGAGCATAGCATATACGCAGGTCACTGTATCCTTGAGGGTAATATAGTGTCGAACAAGTCCAGTTTATCACCTGTGTGGTATATTCATAGGAGACTTACAATGAACCTTTTAAATAAATAAGTATGCATGCAAATTCATCAAGCTAGTATGACTATACTGGAAGTGGGAACAAGTAAACAGGATGCTGAGACTGAGAATAAAAGGCGGAATCCTCTCTGGAGAGAAAAGCTTGGCTATTCCCTGAGCTAGTGGCCGCCTTCGCCTTCTAAGTGAGTCCTGGAAGATGAAAAGAAGCCAGGCTTGTGAAGAGCAGGGGAGAGAGTATTGCAGGGGGAGGTGGGCACAAAATCGAATACAAAGGACCTGCAGCTCGGAGGACTTTGGAGCTGATGGAAGACTGGTGTGAGCAGAGAGATGGGAATGACAGGAGATCAGGAGGCTGAGGCAGGTGTCTTCATGCTCAGAGGCTGCCATGGATGAGAAATGATGGTGCTGTGGGCCACATCGGTGCAGAGAAGTAGAGAAATGGTCCAATGTGAATATAGTCAGAGCGAGAACCCACAGGACTTGCTCAGGGATTAAATGGGTGAGAACAGGCAGCATCAGGGAGAGGGAGGAGGCAATGATCTCCCCATTTCCGGTTGGAACTAGAGGAGCCTGGGGAGGTAGGAGCAGGGTTAGAGGGTAAAACAAGCTCAGGCTGACTCTCTGGGAAGCACTGAGGTCAGATTTGGGGAGCAGGAGCGGAGGGTGGGGAGCCCAATTAGAGGCTGGTGCAGCATTCCAGGTGAGCGACGAGGGTGGGGATGAGCCGGGGTGGTGACAGCAGGGACGCTGCAGAAACTGATGTCCCTGCTCAACAAGTAGGAAGCATTTCCTGCTTCTCCAAATGCCCTGGATTTCCACCTGTGAGGCGGCTGAGCTGGCAACAAGAGGGAGTTCTTTTTAGAGAACACTGAAGTGAAACCACCATCTGGAGGGGAGTGGAGGCGAGTGATGTAGAAAATGGGGTCATGACAGAGACCGGGCTGAGGCTGAAGCAATGCGGCGTCTCTTGCAACCTGCTGTCTGGTGGGGAGAGGACGCTCTGGGCGCCATCTGTGCCGGAGAGAAAGCCATCCTGGGAGACAGGCGGCCAGGCAGTTACTCCTGTGGCCCTGGTGGACCAAGGGCCTCCCGACTCTCTGCAGCAGGGTGACCTTCCTGGGAGGTTGGGGTGGAACCCTAGAGAGGCTGGGGCACAGCAAGTTCTGGGACTTCCGCCCTTCATGTCATTGAGCTTCCCCCTAGAGCTTCCCCCAGGCCAAACCGCTGAGTCAAGCTCCTTTCTCCTCAGTACTGTCCCCCAGCAAAAAGCAGGGGCTGGTGACCTCTGGAAACGGCCACCCAGTCAACCCTGTTGGAACATTACCTCCTTCCTCCCTCCCTTCCTTCCTTCCGTCTTCCTTCCTTCCTTTCTTCCCACGTGCATACATTCTGCTAATACTGACCAAGCATCTGTAAGTGCAGGCACTGTCCCAGGTGCTGGGGACCAAACAGTGAGCAAGCCCCAGATCCGGCCCTGCAGGAGAGGCAGGTCAGGGAATGAACAATGCTGGCCACCAATCCCAGAAATGGGAAACCCCACTTCTGTTCTTGGTACTCCAGGCTGTCCAGAGATGTCACCCTAAACCTGTGATCCTTCCAGTCCTCAGACTTCACACTCTCCACTCAGAAGT